AAGAGTATAGAGTGAAAATCGGGGAGGAGAGAGAGATGGTGTTAGTAGTGTCCGGTGATTATTCTCGGCGCATCTGCAAATTAGCAGAAAGAGAAAAGGCAAAGGTTTACACTGGCTGAGTGTTGAGATGTGTTACCAGCTTCTATACTCGCGTTACTCACACAATATGTTTCGGCTTTTCTGTTTGTAATGAGCGTAGTCACGTGTGAGAATACGATGAGTTAGAGAAAGCTCGATGAAATTCAAGAGAATGGAATTTTAAAGTCTTTAAAAAGACTTGCGGGAGACGCTTTGTGCTAAAATGTGAATTCGGTCTATGTTTGCGGGGCTTGTTATATTTTGTGTGCTATTGTTTGTTCCCTTGTACATTATTATTAAAACAAGTGATAACTCGGGGTGTCCCTGTAATGCTATTATTGAGACATCACACACGTACTACACCAGATTGTATTGTTTGTTATATTCGTTTTCGTCATTGTTATGCCAACTCGGCTCACGTGGCATTTTTTGCAAAAGGCGCTTGTAATCTCACAACCCCGTGAGTAGGACGGCTTAAACAGCCTCGTACTACAGGAGGGTTTTTTCCTGTTGGCGATATAATTATAATTGTGTAAACATACAGCTTAAATTAATGTTACATGAAGAATATTATCTAAAGGCCTAAATACTATTTGCCAAGGCAATCAAGAATGTGAGGTTTTGATTTCACGTTCAATAAGGGGATAAATTAGCAATGTAATTACTTTCCTTATTTGTGAAAAGTGTGAAGGTTAATCCGATTCGAATATTTGAAACATTTGGGAAATTGGGACAAGTTACACTCTGTCAGCGTGCTGGTCACTACAACTGCGATACGGTCAATTAATAATAATAATCAGATGTTCACAACCCAATAATTCTGCGACGCTTTCTGCACGTTTTTTTGTTGGCTGACGTTTCCTTGGTAATCGGAGACATTAATATTAACAAAGCCACAGCTCGGATAAATTGTATATTGATATAGCACAAATTTAAAATCAAAGCTCGGCACAAGAAAACGGACAGTATACGCAGCATGTGACAAGCATGATGTAAGAGTGGCTTGTGAGTTTGGTTTAAATTATTAATACGTCAAGTGAAAGGCAGCCTCAATGATTTTGGTTAGTCAGCAAACTTGGCAAACTGCTTTCCTTAATATGAAATGTAGATGGTTAAAAGGCAATGCAAAAACGCCTTTGTAACCTCTTACGCAAATCTTTACATGAATAGTTAGTGTATCTGAGCAAACAGGGAAAAGGCTGCTTTCAAGTTGTTAATGACTTAATAATAATCTTTGAATATATCAATACGACGATTATGTTTAAAACAGAAAGTCGTACTTCAGAGCTTTGGATGACGTTGATTCAATGATCAGATGTTTTAACCTATGAAATAATAGAGGAATCAACAGTACCAAGTTCAAATTTGTTGATAACATTATTTATCCGGGATAGCAATAATTTACATATTAATATACGGAAAATCCTAACTGAGAGAATTTTGTTACATGGATCATCGAAACCACAAAACATTCTGGAGATAAAACAAATTTATTTTTGTATTTGGTAGTCTCTTTAGTATTACTCACGATTGCTAATTTCGATATATCGTTTCCGAAAACCGAAAGCTGTTTTATTGCGCAAAAAATTTTGGTCTTTATTTATTTTTATTAGCGACAATTTTCTGGAGGTATATGCACTCGTGATCTATTTTGCGCGCTAGTCTGTAATTTTCCTTTTTCTTTGAAAGATAAAACGCAAAATTTTGCATCCAATGGCGTTTATATTCTTGTGATATTAGGATCTGAGTCACATTATAGCAATAGCATAAAGTATTCCGTAACGTTTCTGCCGCATGAGGGTGGTTGATTGATCAACGATTTTATCATAAACTCTGATTCATGGATTTCTTTCAACATGATTCTTTCCGAGAAGAGACTGTTACGCTGAAGTTGTCTAGTATTGCTGGTGTCTCTTATTCGCAGTCCCGAGAAGGAATACATACTCAAACAACTAAGTACACGTGACATGTGTATTTGTGGCTCGTTTGACAGCTCTCTTTGTATTTGTGGCTCGTTTGACAGTTCTGTTGTGTATTGGTGGCTTGACTGTGTGACTAATGACGTAACCTCTTAACACGTCAGAATTTGACAATAGTTAGCGAGGGAGAACAAAAGCAAGAACAGGGAGATGTCTGCCGTAATAATAGTGATTTACAAAATCAATTGTGAAAATACTAACCTTGATTATGATGTATTTTTAAATTCTAATGGGAGGCAAGCGCTCTCGTGGCACCCTGCATTTGGAACCTAAAATGTTAATGTGGCACAATGTCTACAACATGGAAAGAGGTTTCTACACCAATTACGACCACCTGTGCTCGAGCACATAACACTCAAGGTTTGTTCCCGCAGACCCTTACATCATCTTCCCTCCACGACAAACTTCAGATACGCATATTCGTCAGTTGAATAGAACATGAGTGAAGAAAGCGTTATTCTCGTCACTGGTGGCTCTGGTTTGGTTGGAAAGGCCATTGAGTGGGTTATCACGAACGAGACAGGAAGGTTTGGAAAGAAGGACGGAGAGAAGTGGGTGTTCTTGACGAGTAAAGATGGTGACCTCAGGTAAGATCTTAGAGAGACTTGAAGATTAAGTAATGGCTAGTATTTCGATACGGTGATAACATAAGATTGATGGTCAATGTCAACGTAGATCAGCAGCGGCTACGAAAGAGATATTCAAGAAATACAAACCAACCCATGTGATTCATTTGGCCGCGCTTGTTGGAGGATTATTTAAGAATATGAAATATAAATTGGATTTCTTGCGCGATAATTTATTGATCAATGATAATGTTTTACATACAGCTCACGAATACAAGGTAAGCCAATAGTTGGGTATATATATATAAGCATTGTCAGTCCGCATTGTTAGTCCGCATTGTTACTGGTGATAATCCGATGTGAGCATTTTATTCACTATTAATTGTTTATATCGTGAAAGGTCAAGAAGGTTGTGTCTTGCTTGTCAACGTGTATTTTTCCGGACAAGACAACGTATCCAATTGATGAGACCATGGTTCATAATGGTCCCCCGCACGAGTCCAACTTTGGCTACGCTCATGCCAAACGAATGATTGACGTCCAAAACAAGTAAATATCCATTCGTTCTTATTGAAATAACTATTGTTTGAGGGGATTATTGTGTATTCGTTATCGGAATCCTAATAACGTTATTTGATACGAAGGGCTTATCACGATCAGTTTGGATGCAAGTTCACTTCAGTCATTCCAACCAACGTGTTTGGTCCACATGATAATTACGATTTGGAAGATTCACATGTCATTCCTGGACTTGTCCATAAATGTTATTTGGCCAAAAGTAAGGAGGAGGGGATATCAATGTCGCGTTAAGAACGTTCTTGCTTTTATTGCCAATAACGCATCATATTTTTTTTCCCAAACAGAAAATGGTACTCCATTTGTAGTTTCTGGTACCGGCAAACCTCTACGACAGTTCATTTATTCGCGTGACTTGGCAAAGTTATTTGTATGGGTATTGCGTGAATACGATGAGATTGATCCAATCATTCTTTCGGGTAAGTACGAAATGTTTGTAAGACTCAATCATTTACATACGGGTAAGCTCTGATAGCGCTAATCGTTATTGCAACTTTACAGTCGGAGAAGAAGATGAAGTATCGATCAAGGACGTGGCTGACGCCATTGTTAAGGCAGTTGGGTTTGAAGGGACATATACATTCGATACTTCAAGGTCTGATGGCCAATTTAAAAAGACGGCCAGCAATGCCAAGTT